TTTTACATAATTATTTAAATTAATAATCATCTAGGACATACTTTTTTCAAGGCATATCTGACTAAAATTTCACTTGTAATGTATCTTTGTAACATTTCCCAAACCGCACCCTAATTGTCGATTTTCCAATAAAATTACTGCTGGGCCAACAAATTTTAACTATCATATGTGCATACAACATCTTAAATTTTCCTGATTAAGACAGTACTAATATTAAACGTATCGCTTATCAGAATTAATAATCTAACACATTAATAAGCAATATGAATAACTGAACATAAATTTATTTAAATACCAATTAGACTTATTTTATAGGTAAAAAACATGCAGTAAACAACATTTATCATTTTAATATTTTGATCTATTGATTTATTCCATGCACACATAATATGTATTTAGTCATGTGATATTGCAAAATAATTTTTGGTCACATATATCATTTCGGCAGGTCAGCATTGGAACAAGTCAAAATTAATTTTGGAAAATTGTTTACAACACTCCATAATGTTGCACTTGATATATGGGGTCGTAAACGTCAACTCAAATTTTGTAAACTGTGAAACAGTTAGTCGCCTGAATTGCATAAGGTTGTATGTGCATTTTTAGCCAAAATAAGACAGTTTTGATTTACATCCTTTTTGTTCCTAAGTGGTTTGTATTTTCTGACCAATTTATTGCTTTTAAAAAGGTTACTTTGGAAAGCGTTTGGTGTAAATTTTTTTTACAAGATTTTAAGATCATTACAATAAAATTTGCGAAATCTTTTAAAAAAATGTATGAAACAAATTTAAATGTAAAAATTTAGTAGAGAAACGAATCGTGTTTTCCTCATTAATTAATTATGGGATGTGTCCGCCATCTTGGATTTTGTGTTTTTGTCGATTTGCAAGCGTATTTTGCATTTCTCGATAAAAAATGTGAGTAACAAATTTGTAAAGAATTTAATTCTTTGGATATAGTCATTGACTATTAGTCAATATTGCTGAAAAAAGAGTTATTTATGTCATTAGGCTGAGAAGTGTTTTTTTGTGCTAAGCTCAAAGTTTGATAGCCGACGCGTAGTGGAGCAAAGCACAAAAAGACACTTCTCAGCCATACAACATTTTATCTTCAAGGCACAATTTTATTTGTTAATCGATTTATAAAAAGTACAATATTAATAATAATTATTAAAAAAAGAAAGTGAAAGTTATCGAATTTTGATTTAAAATAAGTGGCACATTTAAATGGATAAACCCAACCCAACAGCTTTTGTGAGAAGAAGTTTTTCGTACGACCTGTAGATCAAGACTAAACTTCCACACTGTTTGCTTATTTATAATAACGCAATTCGACAAAATTCAAGATGGTGGACACTTAAATGGGTCGAAAGTTTTACCTTGTACATTTTTTTGTTTCTTAAATCGAATTTGATCGAAAGTCATTGCGCCAAAACACATAATTGAATAATTTAAATTATAATGAAATGACATGGCTTTTTAAAAGATTTTAAATGGGTTTCACAGCAATTTCATTTTTAAATTACCGTAAATAATTCTTGCAAAACACATTTTTTATTATAAAATTTTAAGAAGATATAAAAGCTATTGAATAATCTTGATTTTGTGTTTTTGTCGATTTGCAAGCGTATTTTGCATTTCTCGATAAAAAATGTGAGTAACAAATTTGTAAAGAATTTAATTCTTTGGATATAGTCATTGACTATTAGTCAATATTGCTGAAAAAAGAGTTATTTATGTCATTAGGCTGAGAAGTGTTTTTTTGTGCTAAGCTCAAAGTTTGATAGCCGACGCGTAGTGGAGCAAAGCACAAAAAGACACTTCTCAGCCATACAACATTTTATCTTCAAGGCACAATTTTATTTGTTAATCGATTTATAAAAAGTACAATATTAATAATAATTATTAAAAAAAGAAAGTGAAAGTTATCGAATTTTGATTTAAAATAAGTGGCACATTTAAATGGATAAACCCAACCCAACAGCTTTTGTGAGAAGAAGTTTTTCGTACGACCTGTAGATCAAGACTAAACTTCCACACTGTTTGCTTATTTTTAATAACGCAAATCGACAAAATCCTAGATGGCGGACACTTAAATGGGTCGAAAGTTTTACCTTGTAAATTTTTTTGTTTCTTAAATCGAATTTGATCGAAAGCCATTGCGCCAAAACACATAATTGAATAATTTAAATTATAATGAAATGCCATGGCTTTTTAAAAGATTTTAAATGGGTTTCACAGCAATTTCATTTTTAAATTACCGTAAATAATTCTTGCAAAACACATTTTTTATTATAAAATTTTAAGTAGATATAAAAGCTATTGAAATTATCTTAATTCATCTCAAAATTTAGTACTCTTTTAAACATTTGCATATAAATATAAACACCAACATGTTGACATTTGTAGGTCTAAAAAAGCCTCTCGGAAAGCTGGGTGCCGCCGCTACCAAAACAACGGGTCAGACACGCGATCATCCGCCCCTGTAATTTTCGGGGGGGCAGCATAGGAAAGGCCGGAAATTGGGACACAGAAACCGCAGCTTTTGTCTTTATGCCGCGATATATCTTTCTCTTTCTGACACATGGACGATCGGGGGGCGGTTTAACGCCGTGGAGGCGGCACTCCACCAGGTCCCGACGTGGATTTGGCGGGGTCGTTAACCCTGTTAACGCACAGTGAAAGAATAATTAGAAAAAAAAGTTTTTTCATGGCTAATTTTCTTATTTTTATTTTATACAACTTTTGCAAGATTTTATAATATACTAGGTCATAAGGTGCTTTGAACTTTTGCTAGATCAATACAATAGTATTAAAGTGGCGAAAACAGGCGCACACTAGCAGATAAATAAACGGCCAAAAAAATAAATTATGTATTTTCTTTTAGTTTTTTAATCTTAAAGTGAATTTCAAGTGTTATGTTATGTATTTTGTTGTATTGGGAAAGCGTGCCTACCCAAGTGCAAGATGTCGAGAATGAGAAGAGTATAAAAGAAGTAAAGAAGTGTAAAAGATAAGACCTATGCTTTTGACCTGCATGTCTCTTCAAGCATTTCTAGTGGATACAATATTGTATTATTTTTTTTTATTTCTTCTACGTTTTTTGTTTTTGTTGTTGCCTTCTAAATTTATTTTATATTAGTGTTTATTATATTTTTAAGATTCCTAGGTTTTTGTAATTTTAACATTTGTTTTTATTTGTTTCTTTTTTTTTTAAACTTATATTTTTGTACAAAATTTAATACCGTTTTTTTTTAAATTTTCAACTATTTTATATTATTGTTTGAAAAGTTTTTTAACTAAAAATTTAAGACATCAAATTTTTCAATATGTATTTTATCTTTTTTATGGGAATACTTAATTTTTTTATATTATTTGAGGATTTTTACTTAGGTACAATTTATAGACTTTTTTAATTTTAGCATTTTTTATTACCTAAAGGTAAATATCCTTTAAATATTTTGTGCTTTTAATACTTTTTTAATATTTGTGCCACTTGAAGGATGCGGACGGGACAATTTACAAAACTGTTTTTATAAAAAAATTGTAGGTAAATTATTATGCATATAATATTTTTGCATCAAAATTTTTAAAAGTATTCTTCTTTTATTGGGCTATAGCCGCTATACATTAAATAAAAAAACAGACATATTTTATAAAAGTAGGGAAAATTTCAATAATGGTCAGTTATGAACGGGACAATGGAAATCTTTGTCCCGTCCACAACCCTCCATTATAAAAATTATCTTTTATAAAATATTTCTTTATTTCCTTTATTTATTGTACAGCCTTATAAAACAGGAATATTTTTAACAATTTTGATGCCAAAACATTATATAATAAATTACCTACATTTTCATTAATAAAAACAGTTTTGTGATTCGCGCCTTAAAAAGATTTTTTTTTTCATTATTGCCTCACATTATTTTTTAAAAACTTTTTGGTTTAGTTTACACAGGGTGTTCGAAAAATCGCGCACCACATATTTATTTTCTGACGAGTAGTTTTTAAGTTATTAGTAATTAAGGAAGACAAAAAAACACACACACAAACTTGTTAACACTGCGATCCCATGTGGGATAAGCTGAAATATTACACATCTAAAAACGGTGGCTATAAAAACAATCTAAATAAGGCTGAGATTAACATGATTTTTTTTTAGAGTCTTTATCGATCAATGATCAAAGGGCGAAGTTTAGCATTAGCTGTTCGACCACTTAACCCTGGACAAACACAAATAAACAGCCATATCCATGTGGGATTCGAACCCACGACCACTCGGCTTGTAGTCCGCAGCACTGACTACTACAGCACCGAAGGCGGTACTAACATGATTGACAAATTTATTTTATGATTTATTAAAATCACCATAGCTTGGTAATTTAACTTATTATATTATAAACGTGTTTTTATTATTTCATTATTTTTAAGGACTTTTAAATTAAATTAATTTAATAATATTTTTTTTCATTCTAAAATTAAAGATTGTTTGATTTTAGAAAATTTGATAAAAACCTCATATTTTGTAATAAAACTTCCCATCATAATTGCACCAACAATAAAACCAATTAGATCCTTATCAAAACAGCTAATCGGCCATTATCAATAAATTCTTGAATTCCAACTTTCGATTCTAATTGTGTCACCCTGTAAATAAATTTATTTGTCGTCCACAAAGCTGAATATCGAGAAAAAATCGATCTAGAAAGGCCCCATACGCATACATATGTGACTAACACACAAACATGTTGTCGTTAATCAATTACATCGATTCGCAAGAGAGGCGTGTCCTCTTTTATCAGTGACGTTTGTGTTTTTAAAACGAGTCGAGATCGCGAAAAAATCAAGGCACCTGGCTTTGCGGGGGGTTTTTCCATAAGGTTCCCCCTTACGGCCGATATTCGGGTTCTTTACTCGCAACATTGCGTCACATTTTAAGGTATATAAGTGGGTATGGTCAGTTGGAAGGACTCAAAAGGCTTTAATTGTGCGTTTACGGCTTGTATTGCAAAGAGATCACAATAGTTTGATCTGTTGGTTTTAGTTAGTTTTTTTGGTCGATTGTAGTTAGTGCAATATGGTTCCTAAGGTAATTAAACATTTATAAATATTTTTGTTATTTAATATATCCTAACAGTTTTTTACATAAAACTTTTTATAATTTTTATCCTAAATTACTTACAATTTTGGAAATAAAAAACAATTTCATTATTTAAAATCGTTTTTTACAAAATAGAATTATTTTTTATTCAATTTGTAGTATCACAATACCTATTAATTTTACAATTCCTAATTGCTTTATTTTTTTTTAATATTTTTAATAAATTCTGGGTGTTTAGGAACATTTAACATTAAAATTATATATATGTTATATTATTTTTTTTCTAAAAAAATTTTTTTAAATTATTCTTCTACATTTTCTACGCATTGAAATTAATTACACTATGATTTTTTCTAACATTAAGTACTTCGGTCTAGTTTAACTAATTTTGGGCCGCTGATTTAAAAAATGTCACTCGTTTTGCTCTAGGACGTCTAGGATTTAAAATAATTGCGAAATATAATGCTCTGCTCAATCACCACAAAATGTAAGTTTTTTTTGGTATTTTAATTATTTATTAAATTATTTTGCCTTAAATTTATCTTGATTTTATTGGAGTAATCAAATAGATAATATTTAACTTAGCAGTATGGCATTTTAAATACTAAAACTAAAATTATAATGTATTTTATGTAAAAAATAACCAGTATTTGACATTTTATTTTAATTGAGTTTCCGTATGAAAATTATCTTATTTCATTGAAAATATGCTCTCCGCTTTTCATTTAATGACAAAGTGACACAAAAATGACTTGGTGGTTTGTTAATTTGACTCTAAGAAATTTGGGCAAATTATAACATCAATTCTTTAAAAAGCGGAGAGCATTTTTTCAATGAATAGGCGCCAATTTTCGACCTGATATGATAAGATTTAATAAATTTAAGATTGGAGATTGAATTTTTGCTTACTTTAGGCGTGATGTGAATAAAAAAATATCAAATAATTGTCGAAGAGTACCTATTGTTTATACCGAAATCCGTTTACTTTGGTCCCTTTTCAATTTAGTAGGTAATTAAAAAACGACACACAAATGTCAAAAAATGATACATTTTACAAAAAAATACATTAGAATTTTAGTTTTAATATTTAAAATGCCATTCCTTTGGTACTAAATATTTTCTATGAGGTATATAATACTACTACTGCTACAATGGAACAAAAAATTCAAAATATAAATATTTTCTATTTGACTTTGTATGAAGTCTCTGTATATTTTTGACAAAAAAGGTTAAAAATATACAGGGACTCGTTACATCCAAAATAGATTTAAGTAATTAAAATATTTACGAGAAAACTTACATTTTGAAATAATTGGAAAGAGCATTTTATTACGCAATTCGAATCCTAGACTGAGACTCAATGTTAGTAATTCGAACTATCATAATTATTATTATGTTTATGAATAATAATTTATTAGTTAGTTATTTTTTTATACTAAAACTTTTTTAAACGTTACATTATTTTTCTACTCCCACCTTTATTACGCCCATTTTCGTAAATGTTTCCATGACACATTGACAAGCTGTGACATTTATGTCAAGGGCTGAAGTTTGCTTTAAGTTAATTGTTGTCAAAATTTGATTTAATGTCAATCGTCAAAATAAAGTGCCCTTCTGAGAGAAATTAAACTAAAATGTAAAAATTATTTGATTATCTCTATATAAAAATACAAAATTATTAAGTGGTTTTTTGACGCAAATTTTTGAAAAGTTTATATGCACGTTTGTACTGACTTTTCAATAGCCAGCGGCAAACTGGTTGTCAAAAATATTCTTCTTTTATTATGCTATACATTAAATAAAAAGAAACGCAAGAAATATTTTATTAAAGTAGATCTACGAGATAGCTTTAACAATTGAAAGATGTATCTTGTCCCGTCCACACCTGTCAATTATTAAAATTATCTCTACTTTTATAAAATATTTCTCTCGTTTTTTTATTTATTGTATAGTCTAATAAAAGAAGAATATATTTGATAATTTTGTTACAAAAATAATATGTTAATTTTGGTTAATACATTTTCAGTAAGTAATAAATTAATATTTAAATTAATAAGTAATAAACACATTTTTTATATTAATATTTTTCGTATTTTTCTATTAAAAAGTATAGTAATTAATTTGTAAAAAAACTCCTATATATTTTCGTATCGTAATGAGATATTATGAAAAGCAAATGTTGTTTTTATGATACGACGATTTCGACTTTAATACGGGGCTAAACTTGGCCAAGTTAAAATATAAAAAAGTGTGGTTAGAACCGTCTGACCGGTGTATGATTGGTAAAAAGTGAGGTTAAATCCATCTGACAAATTTCAGATAAATAAAATTGATTTTTAGATAAAGTATACTTTTTATAATATATTATGCAAATCGTTTTATAACCCGAAATTTTTAATGGAATCAGTTAAAGCTAGACTGCCGGCTAATCAAAAGGTCAGTACAACGCGCATTTAACTTTTCAAATATTGGCGTTGAGATACTTTTTAATACTTTTGTATTGAGATGATAAAATAATTTTCACATCTAGTATTATTTTCCAAGAAAGCCACTAAGTCTTAATCTTAAAGATTTTATGACATTTGACAACTGCCAACTTAAAACTTTTTAATCCCCGCGCATTCGCCATTTTTTGCAAAAATTATTAAGTTATTTTTGGTATAGCATCTATAGATATACAAGGTGTCCCTAAACTTATTGGCACAAATTTAGGAAAAATTTGAGCAAGTAAAAATAAAACGTGTTCACACTGTGTTCACTCAAACAATTGTAATTATGTGTAAATATGTGTTTTGCTAGTAAGTGACACTTTATCACCCTGTATCTTGGAAACATAAGTAATTAGGAAAAATATTTATTTAGATTTTCGTCTTATTTTGACTTGCTTAATCTTCTTCTAAATTTATGCCACTAAGTTTAGGGACACCTTATATACTCGTATATTATTAGGCTTTATTATTTAATTGACCATGAAACTTTATTATATTATATAACAGGGAATAAAATACCGAATTACCTGTTTAACGCCGTTAAATTAACAAGATAAAACAACCCTTTTAGCCTTTTATAGAGATACCATTAAACGCATTAAACGAATTAGGTTAATAATTTAAAAGGATTAACTTATGCTACCTCTAACTAAAGTAATCTCATTTACAATAAAATTAAATTAAATTTATGTATACCAACTATAAATATTTATCAGTACAAAGTGCGATTAATTTTTAAACTTAAAAAACAAGGTGTAGAATAGAAGATGGGGCAAATCTTCACCAACAAAACGCTTATATATATAAAGCCTGATAAATTGAAATTCCCTTTTGTCCCTCACTACATATAACAAATAACAGGATAAAATGTAGACAAGCCCTAAACTTTTTATTGAATTTTTTTCAGATTTTCGCATTTTGTCTTCTAATCACAACATCTTTGGCAGTTCCTGTACAAGTTATACATGATTCGCCACTGTTGGTAAATCATGCCCCCATAGCCCTGGCGCACGCCCCTGTAGCGGTCGCACATGCCCCTCTGCTCAGGGCTGAGCCCTACAACCCCCATCCACAATACAGTTTTGAGTATGGAGTTAAGGTAATTTTTTTAGGTAGTTTATTGTTTTAGGGAATATTGTGTGGTTAAAATTTTAGTTAAAAGTTATAGTAATGGAATTTTATAATTTTAAAGTTTTGATTTGGTTTGAAAAAATCCATAACAAGGATTTTGAAGGGAAAGGGTAGTACCTACTAGTAGTTTTGTAGTATGGAAAACAAAACTGCGCTTTCCACTTTTGTGTTATAATTTCTCGAAAACCTAAAGCAATTTTGAGGTCAAATTTGGGTTCAGCCTTCGAAAATATATATTCTAGTTTCTCTTTAAAATTTTGTATTATATTTAAATAATTTTGAGACCGAATATTTATGTGATTTATCTATAAACAAAAATCTAAAATTATCGATTTGTTTATGCAATTAAAATGAACTTCGTAAACTGATAAGATAGATTGATTTTAAAATAGCATAAACACTTTTTGATGTCATGAACGTATTAATAATGTAAATAAATACCTGCATCCATTTAAAAATGTATTTATTTAAAAATGTATAAAAACAACTTCAAATGCCTATGGAATTTGTTTCGACAGTAGAGTTTTGAAATTTTGCAAAAAATGCAATTTTATTTTTAAAAAATGTGTTAATGTTATGTAATTGCAATGTAATATTAAAAACTTAATCAAAATTTTATCGAACACAATTTATAGCTTATAAACCCGAGAAGATGTTTATTGCCGGTCACAGACAATTTCTTGCTTACTTATATGCAAATATAACTGTTTTCGTTGTAATTTTGCGTCCATTAGCAATTGTTAACAGATGTTTGAGGTTAAATACGACCGCTCTATCGATTGGAATTAACAATTATTAATATTGCAGTAATTGCGACGTGACCGAAATTGGCCATTGCCGTTAATAGAAAATATTTAATCAGATAAATATTAAAAACAAACATGTTCTTTTTTCATTCACCATTAAAAATCTTGTTATACATAAAATAAAATTTAGTCCAATTTTGAGCTCTCAATTTAGGTAAATTTTATGAACTGGCACGTTCCGCACTAAACGTATGGAAATCTACCTTTTTTCTTTTGATTGGATAAAACTTAGCCCCATATTAATGTATCCAAAGTTTAAAGAGAAATTTATACGGGGTGCACCAAGTATCCTTTTATGTATTGGTATTAGGGTTGCTACCTTTTCTTGAAAGCCGAAAAGGACAAAGTTACATTATTAAAAACATTTGGGCGTTTACCACCCTTAAAATAAACAATTTAATATTAAGCATTGTGCATGAATAAAATAAAATATTTATACTTTACAATGTTTATTAAATACCAATGTAGGTATGTACAAAACAAATATTAAGGCAAGAAGCAATATTAATATTGGTGTATTGATAAAGTAATCAATTAGAAAACTTAAATTTATATTTTTTATTAGACTTGGCTGCCTCCAGCAGCTGTTTGTCACCTTTCGCCAGTTCATAAAATTCCGCGCAAGTTTCCTTGAAGTTAAAGTAAATTAGCAATTCTGAGCGAATTAGTTCTGTAGAGCAGCGGTTTCTTTCGTCTGTCCATTTGGAGCCCATCACAGAAAAAATGCGTTCTGAAAATGCAGAGCTTGCAGGTATACTTAACAAATATGAAATTAAAGAAAACATATTTGTATGATTTTTTTTATTTTGGAAAATATTTTGCCATTTTTTTGGGGTACTTAATTTGACAAATTTATCTTTAACTGCATATTCTTGAAATTTTTCTGAAACTTCCATTACCTCATTGAAAAGCTGGTTCATATCAATTTGAAGGTTAGGGTTGTTTATTTTGGATATCACATATTCAAAATCTGAATAGGATGGGAATTCGGTTTTTAAATTCAACTTTCCGATGATACTATGCCAACCAATTTCTGAAAAGTCGTACCACTTCTCTAGGTATTCTATAGACCGTTGATAAAATGTCTTGAAGTCGGTTTCGATTCTTTTTGCAATTGTTTTGTCACGAAGGGATCTCAATTCCACTTTGGTTTCATGTCCAAAAAACGCATTATCTAATCTTTGCTTTATAGCTAATTTTAATTCAGTCATAATACTGAATAAATCAAGTGCAGTAGTTTCATTGGATTCAATTTTTTTAATGAAAGTTTCAAAAACATCAAGAATGTGATTACAAAAAAGTAGGTAAATTTTAATTTCAGGTGAAACAGTGTCAGTATCTTCATCGATTTTAAAAAGTTTTTTAATCATATTTGGACAGTTTTCTATACTCAAAAAATAGCTGCATAGTGCCGCATAATTTGACAATATTCTTTCCACACAATGATTCAAAGAAAGCCAACGTGTGCCTACGTGTCTTATCAACTCACGCCACTTACAATCGGTAAATTCATGGAACGATTTTAGTTCTTCCCTCCGTTTGGCAGACATCGAAAAATGAGAGTATACTTTAAGAATCAGATTTTCAACATCCAGGTCTAAAGCATCCATGGCAAACTTAACGCAATTATGTACTATATGAGCATGACAATTGCCTTTTAAAACATTTCGATTTTTGGTAGACACGTTAGTAAACAAACTGTGATTTTTACCGAAATTGGAGTTTGTATTATCTGCGCTTAGCGAAGATACTTGCGCCCAGTCTAGTTTCAGTTCTTTTATACACTGATTTATCATGTCGAACATGCCATCGGCACTTTCGTTAGAGTTCTCGCAAAAATGTATCAAAAAATTCTGCAGCCCATCCTGAACTGTAAAAACTTGAATTGAAATTGGAAACAATTTGATATTTTTTCTATTTGAAGCATCCAATTGGATGGAATGTGATTATTCAACAAGTCCATGACTTTCTGTAGTGCCATTTGAGCTAAAACATTTTCTACAATTGCCTCACTTTTAGTACGTCCACAACACAGTTTAGCTGCTACCTTGGAATCTGTAAATATTTTTGAGTCCAATTTTATGCTACAGTCTAGAGAATTGTATGATTGATTGTGCTTGACCGTATGATAAATTTTACACAATTCTATCAAGATTACAACAAATTCTTCTTGGGTATTTTTGGCGACAAAAAACTTCTCTAACGAGTGTGAAGTGTTTATGGCAGAAGTCTTCTTCTTGTGTAGGTTGCTTTCATGATGTTGTCGTACCGCTGAAAGTCCCATGTTGGCCACAGTGAAGGAAAGTGAACAAGTTTTGCAAAATGCTTCTGTATGTGTCCTGCCTTCTTTCAGCCACGTAAAGTTTGTTTCCCAGGCTTTATTGTAATATGCTACCCGTTTTATCTTACGAGGGGGTTCCTGAACCACTCTGGATAGGCTACGAAAGAAGTAAATAATCACCACATAATCTAAAATTTAATGTTCAATTTTAATACCCATGTGGCAGTGCCCTCTGATAACATGTTACCATCACCATCACCGTCTTTGTCCATTATTATTATAGTTACTTTTACTTCTACTTCTAAATCTATACCAACACCAACATCCAAACTAAGAAAAATCGTTCTAATAAATAGTTTACCTAACATAAATTTAATTAATTCAAGTCAAATTTTAATTTACCTAGTTTTTAAATTTTTTAAATTCAAGTGAAAAATTATTTCTAAAAGATATGTTTCTGATTTTTATTAGACTGAATATTTAAATAAAATGTCTTGTTAATTATTATTATTATTATAAAAATCTAAGATTATATGTCAATAGAATAAAGTTAATAAAATTTAGATATTAATTTAATAAAAAAGATTTAAAAAAGTTTATATACAATTGTTTTTGTGTTTTTTTTACTAAAAAACTAAAAATAACAATATAAAAATGCAGACTGGCCTAAGTACAACTCTATCGCTAACGTTGTTACTAAAAAACGAGGTATATTTATTTAACTGCTTAATAATTTCAAGTAAATAATAAATGCTATAGCTATATATTAATAAATTATATAAAAAAGTTTTAGGTTAATATAAATAGTAAAAAAGTTTAATTAAACTAAGTAACAGTTACATGGTAATTGTCCCATATGGCATAGTAAACATTTTAATTCGATTAATTAATATAATAATAATAATATTTTAAGTATTTTTTTTTCTCCCAATGCAATAACCCATCAAAAATAGCATCAAGAATTGGATTTAGCAGATATTATTCAAGAGGAAGACTTACCTTATGCTCTTGTGATTATTTTGTTTAGCACCTCTGGTACACTTCAACATTAACTTTAAAGGTTAGAATCTAACCGTTAGATACCGATCACCGATTTCGTTTTATTTCATTGCAATTCGGCTAAATCTGGCCGAAAATCGGATAAGCTGGCAACACTGTTTACATGGCACGGCTGCCATTCTACCAATAATAAAAATTGCATTTCCCTTAAATAACTTTTAGCCATAGACAAGGCACGATCTTGTCAATGATTTTAGCGGTAAAAAAATTTAAAAAAACTTTTAATGAGCAATACACATACCTTGCAAAAATATCTATAGATATGCAAAACCTTGTAAAAGGACATTTAGCATTGAAAAAAGACACAAGGACATTTTATTCAAAAAAAGGACTGTCCTTTCCAAAAAAGGACAGGTGGCAACCCTAATTGGTATCTTTTTTATTTGAAGAACTATAAGGTCGGTTAAATTAGAAAAAAGTTGCGTAATTACAAGTCTATTAAAATGGCATCTAAAAATTTGAAAAAAAACAAAATAAAAAAACTGAAAACCTGTTAAAACCAAAAATATTTATAACTTCGTTATTCGTGGGATTTAAAAAAGTTTTATATGTATACATACACATTTTCATCCAATTTTTATTTATTTCTCCTACTGGGTTAAGCCCAGTGGGTTTTGAGACAACCACCATCTTTTGTTTTTCCTATGGCCGTCATATTATAATTTTACGTGTTTAGATAGAAATTATCGAGGAATCCAACGATGTATCAAACTACATAAGTTATGGTGTTCAATATGGTGACGGAAACTCAAAATATAGTAGAAAATAAATCGGATAAAAATGTAGATTAATGACTATGTTTACATGTAAAACTTACTTTTTTCAAAACTTTCAGGAATAACAAAGTTATAAGGATTTTTGGCGTTGAAATATTTTTTTTAACGTTTTGAGAACTCGTGGCTTTTTTCAATTTATAAATTTAATGTTAATAGGCGCAATTTTTCTCTGATGCAGCTATTCAAATTAATTTCTCTTTAAACATAACTTTTTTAATGAGCATATATGTATGTATGTATGTATATATATTATATATGCTCTTTAAATAAGCCTCTAACTGCTTGGCCCGTGTGTAAGTCTTAAAACCGGTGTTTTTTGCTGTTTTACTTGTATTTTCTAGGACCTTAGCACTGGCGATATAAAGGACCAACACGAGGTCAGAGACGGCGACGTAGTAAAAGGACGTTACAGTCTCGTTGAACCCGACGGCAGCAAGCGCGTTGTGGACTACACCGCCGATCCAGTCAACGGTTTCAACGCCATCGTCCACAGGGAGCCCAACGCGCACCCTGTTGCGGTTGCGCATGCGCCTTTGGCCGTTGCGCATGCACCTATAGCTGTCGCGCATGCTCCGCTAGCTGTAGCGCACGCTCCGATCGCGGTTGCGCATGCACCTGTAGCGGTCGCGCATGCACCACTGTCCTATGCTGTCGGATCGATCAGTCACGGACCATTGTTGACCACTAATTTGTTGCATTAAAGATAGAAGGTCTGGACAGGGCTTGATAATTTGTTTTTTTTGTATATATCAACTACATTTTTATGTGTTTTTGTATTTTAAACTGTCTGACATGTTTTAAGATAAATAAATCGCTTTTTCCTATTTAATTTTGTGTCTTATTTAAAAAGAAATCTTGAAAACTACTTTTAATTTTTGTATACCTATTTCCTTTTAAAAAAATTCAGTCAGGTTCCAGCACTTGAGAAGGCACCACGCGAGAGCGAGAGCTCTTAAAACGTAAAAGTTTAAAGATTAAAACCAACAATAATTTTTAAAAAGTGCAAACCAATTATAGTGAAACAAACAATTTTCATAAAATGCAAACTAAAATGGTGTAACGGTCAATGAGGAGTGAAGTGTTAAGTGATATGAATGAGTTAAGTGCCACCTGTCATTGGACGCTTTTCACTGGACAAACAAAGGAGGTCAAACAAGAGGGGAGGTGGCCATCCGCAAAAAATTGATAAGTAACCTTAAGCATATGCATGACCTAACACATAATCTGCAAATTAAACACGACAGATATCTTTAAAACCCTAAGAAAGGCACACTGCGTAGGACAATAAATCTATCAACAGCAAATGCGTAAGGCAAACCCCAACGAGACCAATAATAAACACAAGACACACAGAATAAACCAACACATTAATCACTATAACATAGTAAAAAAGCATAATAACCAAACTCTACTGGATAATTGCGCTTGTCATTTGTTTAACTAATAAATAAATGCAATACTTAATTTTGGAATTTAAGAAAAAAAAATTCTACCACAAAACGTGCTTGGGACAAAAATTACGCAAACTTGAACGGAAGATCATTACACTAATAACGACAGACTTACCCGACTACCATCACCAACATCCCCGCGACCTGCTAATGGGCAAAACCATTACGAAAAGGGTAAGAGTAGCCCAGATTTACATCTGAAGATTTACATCGTTGGCGAAAAGTACTTTAAGCACTTTGTGTTTTTAAGAAAGAATTGAACCTACACCTCGCCAAAGTTTTTTGTTTTGAGTGCATTCCACCAACTTCAAATACCGACAAACAGCTGTTTCGACCTATATTGGGTCTCATCAGTATCGGGCAACTTGGTGTAGTGGAACACACTCATATATATATTTAGTGTTGGGGAATATTTCTAATAGTTGTTTCACATATCACCAAAGTTGTCCTTTTTAAGTATCAGCATGGTATACAAATAATTTAAATTTACATAATGAATGGATGAATTCTTTACATTAATTACACTGTGCGACAAATTTTGACCTTACAATTTGAACTGGGATGAAATGTGGAAAAATCGAATCTATGCAACCCCCAAAACTAATCTTTAAAGGGGTTTTGCTAGTTTAGCTCGAATAATGGAGATATACAGGGTGTTTCTTTTAACTTGAGACAGCTCAATATCTCGAGAAATACGCATTTCACGGAAAAATGTCTTAAATAAAAGGTTAATGTGACCAAAGGGGACATTATTTGGTGCTACCGCTAGCCACCCCCTACCCCTCCTTAAGGGTGAAACGGGGGGAAACTCATTTTTTTTAAATTTTGAATTACAGCGCCATCTGTTGATAAATTGAAAAAAGTTTTAAATAAAAGTTATTTATTTTTTTATGTACTACCAAATTCTGTGAAAAAAAATCGCGTCATTCCATTTGACTTTCCAAAGTTACCCCCCGTTTCACCCTTAAGGAGAGGTAGGGGGTGGCTAGCGGTAGCACCAAATAATGTCCCCTTTAGTCATATTAACCTTTTATTTAAGACATTTTTCCGTGAAATGCGTATTTCTCGAGATATTGAGCTGTCTCAAGTTAAAAGAAACACCCTGTACATATATATATATATGTATATCTCCATTATTCGAGCTAAACTGGTAAAACCCCTTAAAGGATTTGTTTTGGGGGTTGCCTAGATTCGATTTTTTCAGATTTGATCCCAGTTCATTTTTTGTGTTGCACAGTGTTATTTGCAGTACCTACTAAGATTTATCAATGGTAAAATTTTATTTTTGAAATAATATGATTTATTTGGTTTATAATCCGACCAAAAATTGTATAAGAGGTTTGAATCGGTTTAAATTAAGATTGATTCGGTTATTCTAGTGCTAAATTGGAGTTAACAGGCTAAACAGGTTTTAAATCAGTTTTTGTTGGTCAAAGTAGGTTTAAATTTCGATCTAAATTTTGACTCGGGTAACTGCTGAAAATTATTATTCGGACAATAAGGGACCTGGCATTTGATTACATTTTTTCTAGTGGCCCATGACCCTAATATACAAGGCGACCCTAAACTTAGTGGCATAAATTTAGGAGCAGATTAAGCAAGTCAAAATAAGACAAAAATCTAAATAAATATTTTTCCTAATTACGTATGTTTAAAAGATACAGGGTGATAAAGTGTTACTTATCATATCAGTTTTTTAATATAACTTCTACTGTGGTAGACTTGGAAAGGTGATATTTTGCGAACAGTCACTTACTACCAAAACACATATTCTCACATAATTACAATTGTTCGAGTGAACACAGTGTCGTAGAAACAGGGGTTGCTTAAGCTTATTGTCCCATACAAACTTTGAGGTTAGGTTTTTATACCATTTGATGCAATTTTTTGATTAGTCAGTTCGGCTACTATTAAAAAGGTGTACCTCTCAAACTTCGATAAAATAAACCGTTTTCGAGATTACAATTATATAAATACTCAAACAATTATAATTATGTGTGAATATGTGTTTTGGTAGTAAGTGACTGTTCGCAAAATATCACCTTTCCAAGTCTACCACAGTATTAAAAAAACTGATATGATAAGTAACACTTTATCACCCTGTATCTTGGAAACATAAGTAATTAGGAAAAATATGTATTTGGGTTTTCGTCTTATTTTGACTTGCTCAATCTTTTCCTAAATTTATGCCAATAAGTTTTGGGACACCTTGTATACTTATAACACCCCCCCTTATCGCGTTTCTTTGTGTTTTACATTTTGTGGACACCCTGTATAAACTATGCTGCTATCTGATTTTTTTAATTATCTTCCTAAGGAATTTATACAACAAAATTTGGACATAAAACATCTAACTTAATTGTTATAAAACAAAATTTGGCTATAGCCATACAATTACATCGTTACAGTGCGCTTTCACAAATAAAAATGAACTCTACGCGCGAAATTTAATAATAACTAAAGCGCGAAACCCCACAATAACAACAACAGTAGCATCATCATCGCATAGGAAAAAGTGTACAGTAATATTCCAGTCGGCTGTGCATCGATTGACCCATATCAGCGGGTGCCGCCGTGACGCACGACCAACCAACGCAACCCTTTGGCGAGCGACGTCCCGACGGCAAGCGTCGGAGGACGTTCAACTCTCGAAACAACTTTGCTTCGGGATGCCGAAACTCTATGACTGTTTGTTCCCGTTTTAGAACGCCTCTTGTGTTATTGTTTGTTGTAAGCGTGTGCTTCACGTAATGGATATTATTGTTTAGGTCTGTTTTTTTTAAGAACAGAGCAGATAAAAATATAAAAATATTTGTAGAAACACTTTTTAAAATATTGTTACCTTAATAATTAAATGGGAAACTTAAAAAACAAATTATTGAAAAGAGATTTAAAAATTTGCCTAGCTGGAACACATATCTATATTTTTGCAAAGACACATCATTGCAATGAAGGGAGTTATATATGCTATATGCTATAGCATTGATTAGACAATTTCAAAAAAATACAAAAGTTTTACTTAGACAAATAAAGCTTAATTTTCATGTATCCGTTTATCCGTTTTTCAATGAAATGGTCCGACAAAAAATGTTCTATTTTTCATGCATCCGTTTTTTAATGACGTTTAACCAATTGATTTGGCAACAAATAGAAATTAAGGGCCAGTATATTCACTTCACTAAATTTACCTAATGCTTAATTGGCATAGTTACAATTATATCAACAATTGTAACTTAAACAGTTTTCCAAGAAATTAACGTACTAAACTGGCTTAATTTATTTATAATAAGCACTAATTTGTTTGTTTTACTGTTAATGTTTAATATTTTTCATTAAATTATTGTAAAATTAAATATGAATAATAAAACAAAGTGAGGTTAGGCAACCAAGAAAACGCACGATTCTTTTTCTACGATTTAAATTATCTTTAAGTTTTAATTTGCTTTAAGTTTTCAGTGAAATTAAATGTTAAACACAGCTTAAACATTCCAAACTACCTATTTTTTAAATAAAAATCCAAACAAATTGAAATTAGATACCTACCTATTTATTAAACAATTAATTGAATTCAATGTAATAGCAAAAATCTATTTCTACTTAAATCATGTTGCTAGGTATTGTCAAACTATTACTGCTTCTAAAAGCAATAATAATTATAATTATTGTACATTTAATGTAATCTTTAGCTAATAAATAAATGAGATTCCAAAAAAGTGAGGTTAGGCCGCTTTGATGTTGAATTAAATTGACCTATATAAAGTGATTTGAAGATAAAATTGTGTATGCCATTCGGCCAAGAAGTGCCTTTTTGTGCTTCGCTCAATTGTAGCTCAAACCTTGAGCTTCTTAACCTAATGACATAAATATATATAAAGGTAGGTAAATATACTATATAAAAAGAATATAATAGCCTTAATATACATAAAAATATCGTTTTAGTTCTGGTTTCAATATTTTATGTTAGTCTTTTCTTTTTTCCGTTCTTCTTATTAAAGAAAGACATAACAGTACAACATTATTACATAACGAACGTAATTACTCAGTTTTACAATCATAATTTAAAAAATATTAAAAGATTTGAAAATAAATTACCTTAAACTAACGTTAGGCGTCAAAAACAGATGTGTAGTGGATGAATTAAAATTATTTTAACTTTCTCCGTCAGACATACGAAGTTAAAACTTGACGGACAGATGAAATGTAATAATTTTTGAATTAAAATTGGACCAATAAGAGCGCTCCCGGATGATCGGGCTAACGGACAAACGGATACATGAAAATTAAGCTTAACGCGGATACCGAGCTTGGAGTTAGTAGTAGTGCACGATACCTATCTTAATTTTTCAGTTATAAATTTTGAC